CATTACACCAGCTATTAAACAAGTTGGCCATGCACATTTATCATTATTAGATGGAAAATTGGGCTGAACACTTCCACACGAGGTGAGTAGTTTTCCTTAAGGGTTACTATATGTAGTATTAGTCACTCACTTTTGGCCCGTGTCATGTATTCCACAAACCTCAACGAAGATATGTGTCAATACGTATTAATAGTTAAGCGGTCGTTTCAACACTATTGTTCATTAAACACACTTCCTTACGGTTACGCATCTATAATAGGAATTATTAATCTGGCGAGAGCGGATACTTGTTGTGTCTTGCGTTCAAAACCAAATAAGAATGCCCAGTAAAAGTCAGGAATGGAAGTCATTTTGTTTCGAATCTTTAAGCTTTATATATTCATCTACAGAAATTAATAAATTAAAACATATACTAAATAGTGAAACCTCTGTTTCTTTGGCCACATATGTTCGATATCTATTTTGAGTCAAAATCTTTCTCCATGTATCCTCATAATTGAAACCGGAAAGAGCAAACATGGAGCTTATAGTAGCCCACATTAAAAATTCTTACATGGATTAACCGGTGCTTACCAGAGCCAGTAAAAGTGAGAACTTTTTTTTTTTTTTTTTTTATCTCAATTATATAAACAAATTTAATCTTGTTCTTTGATTTTGATTTATCATTTTATTCTATTGAAACAAAAGAACTGCTTTAAGTTAGTTTGCTGTGGGCATTAATCTTTGTTACTATATTCAGTTTATTTGGATATCTTTTCATTTGAGATTTGCAAATAGAATCTCAATAAACCCATTTGCTAGTTTGAGCATTTAATTTGTAACTTGCAGAAGAAATTAAACAAGAAGAAGGGAATGAATCTACTGTAATGGAGAAGCTTGAAGTTAAAATTCTTATAGATTTTATGCAGAAAATTAAAAAAGAAGGCATTAATAAATGTTTCAAGAAATATGTTCTTGATACTTTTGTAACCAAGAGAAAGAGATGTCGTTTAGAAAGTGAAGACGGTGAAGAAGAAAAGAAAGAAAGATTTAAAAAGTCATTGAAGGGACAAAATCAAAAAAAGCAAATTTCAAAAGCCAAACAAGGGTAAGAAATAGATTTTGAAATAATTGGATTAAATGCATCAATAGCTATGCCTCTTCTTGAATTGCATAGAAAAATTGATGGTAAAGGTTACAAATGCAATAAAAAGCGCACTAAGACATTGCGGTAAGAGAAATATAGATAGATTTACCTGAAATAATTGGATTAAAATTGCGCAAATCGAAAGCACATTTTTTAAACGCGGTAATCCAATGCCTCTTCTTGAATTGCATAGAAAAATTGATGGTAAAGGAAGTTGTTTGATAATGAATGGATCGCAAAAGGAATTATATGTGGAGAAAACAAGGACTATATGACTCTGAGAACTGTTTTCGGCAAGCTTATTTGTTTGTTCTTTAGTAGTAAGTTTAGGGTACATATCATTGGCAACTGAGTCCTCCGTCACAGTCAATGCCCTCTGGAACTCATGTTGCGTGCCGCATGAAGCTGAGATGGTGTTTCAAATGGAACTGACGCGAGTATTGCGCAATCAGTTCTGAACCTACTAATCACATAACGTGGGGAGTATCTTTTTTAAGACTGAGAACTGTTCGGATTGTTGCTGGTTTAACAACTGGACTGAATGTCTCGTCACAGTCAATGCCTGCTCGCTGTGACCTGCCATCACCTACAAGACGGGCTTTATGCCTCTCAAAAGAACCATCAGAATGCCTTTTATGTTTAAAAATCCACATAAGCGAATGACATTCACATTATCAGGACGAGGTACTAAATCCCACGTCTTATTCTTAATTAAAGCCTCATATTCATCAAGCATAGCATTTTTCCAATTCGGGTCTTTTAATGCGGATAGAGGACTTGTGGGTAATGGGGAAATGTGTGGAGTAGTGACAAGAAAGGACTGGTTGTATTTTGGATTGGGTTTAAAAATTCCAGATTGACTTCTGGTGGTCATGCGAGATGGAGTGGCTAGTTGGGAAGTTGGGAAATATTTGGAGCATGGGCAGACGAGTTTGGCTGGTGTGGTGAATTTGGTGCGGCTGGTTCAGGAGACGGTAAGACCTCGGCAGGAGATAAGACCTCGGTAGGAGATAAGGGAGTAGAATGGAGACGATACAAGGTTAAAGGTAACCCTGAATCGTCCAAGAAATCATAGGCAATGGGTGGTTGTGAAGAAACATTGGAGAAAGGAAATATACTTTCATCAAACCTCACATGTCGACAAATTATAACTTTCTTGGTGGACAACTCATAGCACTTGTACCCTCTATGATTAGAAGGATACCCTAGAAACACGGGTTGATCTTGGATTCAAGTTATGAATCTTATTAGAGGGAATAAGAGAAAAAGCATAAACAACCGAAACACGGAGAGATGACTATATTGTGGAGTGGTTTTGTAAAGAATGTGAGTGGGAGATGCATAGCTTAAGAGTTTAGTGGGAAGAATATTTAGGTGGTAAGTAGACACAGCTAATGCATGATGCCAAAAAACTAGATGGAACAGAAGAGTGCAACAAGAGGGTACGAACCATATTGTTTATTGTTTTTATTTTCCTCTGCTTTGCCATTTTGGGAAGAGGTATATGGGCAGGAAAAGCGAAAAATAATACCATTTGTTTGGCAAAAATCATGAAACGATTGATTATTATATTCCCTACCATTGTCACATTGAAGAGTTTTGACGTGTGTGTGAAATTGACTCTTAACAAAATTGCAGAAAAGCTGAAAGACTTTAAGAACTTGAGATTTATGAGAAAGTGGGAATGTCCACAAGAAATTTGTAAAATTTTCAAAAAATAACACATAATAACGATGGCCTGAAGAACTCAAAACAGGAGATGTCCAAACATCACTGTGAATTAAATCAAATGGCATACGAGTAACAGTATGAGACTCATAAAATGGAAGTTTAACAGATTTGCCAAGTTGACAAGAATTACAAAAAGAAATGTTGTCTTTATTGCAAGATATAAAATTATTGTATTGTCCCTAAGCACTGATGACATCTATCCCCGGATGACCCCAAAACGATTATGCCAACCGATACCCGAAAGAAATGGCAGAAAAAGGCAGATTGGGAGCAGGAAAACATAGGAAAGACAGGCGAATTTGTGATGGATTAGAGGTTCCCCTGTGTATCACATCTCCACATCTCAGAAGACTGGTCCCCGTCGGATAGTCCTTCACAGTAAACCCAAAAGGATCAAATTCAACAGAGGTCATGTTATCAACAGTAAATTTCCTAACGGAAACAAGATTTTTAATTAATTTAGGAGCATGTAGAACATGATTAAGATGTAAAGGTGGGTTAGTATGGGGTAAAACAGCATGACCATAACCCTGAATTGGAATTTTGCTACCATTACCAACAAGTATACCATTACTTCGACTTAATTGAGAATAAGAAGTGAGAGTACCTTAGTTTGCTGTCATGTGAGAAGTGGCACCACTGTCCATATACCAATGTTCTGGTGGCTGCCGACCACCACGTCCCCGTTGACTCTGTCGCCGGCCACCAGTAAAAGGAGGAAGAGAATGAGTAGCGTCGGTATTGGTGAGAGTAACCGAATCAGTGGCAGTTTTAGCAAGCATAGCAGAAGCATTCACAGAATCAAGCTTTGCACGTTCCGCTTTTGTTGTTTCTTCAAGGAGCAACATGGATCGTACCTGGGCAAAGGAAGGTAACGACGCCTTGTTTTATACCCCCACTGTAAACGAATCACATCATAGTCATTGTTGAGACCATTGAGAAGACGTAAAAAACCATTCGTTGAATCTGAGACTTTGGAACCAACGTTGGCTTATTGATCTGCTAGGACTTTGAGGCGTTCTGGTATAAGCCTTCGCATCAGGAAAATCATGTAAATAGTTTTCGTGAATTCCTGTTTCAAGGTGGATGAGTCGTGATGTTTTATATCTTGAAACAATTCTTCCAATTGAGTCCAGCATCTAATGCCGTGTCTGCGATAATTATCGTGTTCAAAAATCAGAAGAGGATGGTTCCATAAATCCATTGGACGAGACAATATTATCAATTCGGATCCCATTGAGTTGATCGGCAGGGTTTTGGGTGGTGTTTCTGAATCTGATTTGGGAGAAATATAATCATGGGTTAAGGTTGCTTTGGTGTGAATGATAAAGAGGGTAGCCCAATTATTATATTGAGCCGAATCATAATCAAGAATGATTAGGATATGAGTTTTGATGTTGGTAATGGTGGTTGCAGGATGAATTTTCTCAGCCATTGGTGAATAGAAGAGATAGCTGCAGAGAAGAAATGAAAGAAATAGGGTTAAGAAACAAGAGAAATAGGGTTAAGTTTTGTGACGGGGCTCTGATACCATGTAATTGTATTCCGTGAGTAATACAGTACAAATAGTTGCTATATATATACAAGGCTAGCTAGGGCATCATACAAGGAAACTAATTATGTACAAGATGTATTACACTAACACTTAGTCCCTTAAACTTTTGACTAATTTGAGCCTTTAAATTTTCATTTGTCGCTTACAGCGTTCGTTTTCTTCAATTCGGTTCCATTTTTTGTCAAAAAATTCATTTCTTGTATTTTTAAAACTCAAATTTTCAAATAGGGGTGATTCGATTGAATTCAATTAGGTTCGATTGAATTCAATTAAGTTCAATTGAATGCTAAAAATTAAAGTAGCTTCAAACCCACTAATTAAGATTTCAATGGCTACTAAAAATTAATTGTCAAGAAAATTAAAATTTTGTATATGATTCTCTCTATGACACAAACACTCAGCTTCTCTATTTCAAACTTCCCAATTCTATAAATTTAAGCTTGGATTCATTTTTCCAGGAATTAATAAACCAGACCATTTTAAATTATTTTTTCTTACAAATTATGGTGCAAGCAACCATTTATCCAAAATTTGTAAAAATAAAATTTCAGTAGAAGACTATAATTGTAAATTCATTAAGTAAACAAAAATAGAAATCATTTTTAAGTTAAACATGCATTAAATATTTATAAAGCAAACTACAATTAGATACCCACTTTCCAAATTACATCACCCATTACCATAACTCGTTTTTTGTAATAAAAACATTCACTACATGATTACAATCCCAACTTTGAAATGTCTTTCTCCAAACCTTCACCTTCACCTTCACCTTCACCCACAGCCTGAACTTCGACTTCAACTTCACTTGCAGCCTCAGCTGCAACCACGCCCACCAGTTCATCTTCTTCAACTTCACTTGCAGCCTCAGCTGCAACCACGCCCACCAGTTCATCTTCTTCAACTTCACTTGCAGCCTCAGCTGCAACCACGCCCACCAGTTCATCTTCTTCAACTTCACTTGCAGCCTCAGCTGGCCTCTGATACAACTTCAGTCTCGATTCTTGGTGATAAGGGAGTTAAACAAGTTTTCAATGTATCAAAAACCTCATCCATCGGCTTCGAAGCATCAATCTAAGAATATATTAGCAATAACTTCAATAAAATCAAATTTGAAAGAAATAAATAAAACAAAACACATCTGATGAAGAATGTTTTACCTCGTATACTTTGCCCCTTGAACGATAGTACTCAACAACTGGAAGAGTATACTCATCAAAATATGTAAACCTCTTACTCACTGACTCCACATTATCATCTACTCTTCCCTTCAAATTTACCCAAACCACAAAATAGTCAAACACCAATATTAGAAAAGATAAATTCAAAATAATATACATTAATATATATAAATTAAATCAAAATTTCACCAAACCTGGTTCCTGCTCAAAATTCTTTTCTTCCTTTCTTCAGCAGAACAATGAAAGAAAACAACGAGCTCTGGTTCGATGTTAAGCTACCAGCAAAGAATATAAGACGAAAGTTAAAGCAAAAACAACATAATTGAAAGCAAGAAAATAATTATAGTATTAATACATACAGCATCTTCAAAAGCAGCACGGATTTCCTCATCACGAGGAAACCCATCAAGCAAAAACTTGTCATTCCCACTTTTTTTCATGGCTTCCTGCAATACTCTCAAGGTAATGTCTGGTGGAACAGATAGTCCATCCTTTAGCATGCTCTTGATCATTTCTCTGATAATAAAAATAAAGATTACTCATTTTAAAAGATCATTAGTAACACAGAAATTTAAGAAAAAAATTGCAAAAAGAAAATCATACCCATTATCAGGATCCGAATCACCAGCTTTGCGAAGCTCTTCTCCACTGCTTAAATGAGTAAAACCAATGTATTTAGAAATATTTGCACATTGCGTGCTCTTGCCTCCTCCAGGGCCTCCTGTTTCGTCAGAGATCAAAAATTGCGATTGTGATCAGAAAACTAAAATATGATCATTTTATAATAAATTGTATTATTCTTGAATTAAAAAGTATAAAATACTTGCCTAAAACAAAGACAATTGTAGGCTTTTTCTCAACCGCATCAATTTCTTGATCTGTCTTCTGTAATCAGACATTTTTTATCAGATTGGAAACAGAATTTGATTAGAAATAAACAAGAATTGATTACCTCCTTAGCAATCGCAGCATCATTAATGGAACTGGAACCCATTGATTGCAAATTCTAGGCTGATAGTTCTTTTACTTTTATCAAATGAAAACTGTTTAAAAGAGAATGAATGAGAAAAGACAAAAGGAACTTGGTTCTTTAAATAAGAACCTGTACTGTCTCTCAAACCTCTAAAGTTAGTCTCTCAAACCTCTAAAGTTACGTGCGAAGAAGGAAGAGGAAGAGGAAGATGAAGGGAAAGTGAGAGTGAGGAAGCAGTAGTAGCTTATGAACTAAGTTGTCAATGAAGACTAGACATTTAAAGATACATGAAAAGATGGTTTAATATTAATGACATAATAAGCGATCTTAAATTTCCAATTTATTGGTAAATGGTAATCATGAAATGAATCCATTTCGCTGTTTACCAAAGATATTTTGTTTCTCAAATGGCTACATAATTTGTGTAAACAAATAACTTATAATTGTCATAAGGTGGTATTGTAAAGACAGAAAGCTAAATTTTGAAGTTTATTTAAGTTTAATTATAAAAAATTTTGTTTCTCAAATTACTTATGTTGTGTAAACTGCAGTATTATTTTGTCCGTCAAACTTGTCAATAAATAAAAAAAATTAAAATCTTTAATTGGACTTTTAAATTCTTTTAAATTACAATCAAATATTATATAATTTTTTCTATTTTTTAACTTTATTCTTTTATTTTCCTAATTAAAATCTTTTAAAATTAAAATTATTATATCAAATTATTATATTACTTAATTTTCTTTATCTCTCTCCTAATTAAAAATCTTTTAATTATAATTGAATATACAAATATATGCTAAATATATGTTTTTAATATATATGTAAATTAAAAGCTAATATATGTTTTTAATATATATGTACATTAAAAATTTTAAATGGCTCGAGTTAAAAAATATTTTATATTAACATAAATATTATAATATTTTTCTAATTTAATTTATTTTAACATTTCTCATGATTCCTTACTATACTTCTAATTAAATCTTATTTAAATAGTATATAAATTTTTTTTATATATTTAAAATTAATTTTTTTACTGTCCCAATATAAAAATCTTAATTACAGTCAAATATATTTTGTTACATTTATTTTACTATTTTTTTCTTTCCTTGTCACTATATCGTCTCTAATTAGATTAATCTTTGAAAATCATTATAAACATATTTATAATCATATTTTTTAAATTATAAATTTTTTTAATAGCACATTTTAAAATATTAATAAAATTAAATATTACTAACTATGTATTTTTAAAAATTTTAAAATTATTACAATTCATTTGAAATTTTTTAAAAATGTTTTATTTAATCAATATATATGTATATTTTTTAAATTAAAATTTTTAATTATTCATGTCTAAAGATTTTTTAGGATATCTCGAACCTCATTAACGATATTTTAAAAAATCTCAATATTTCTTCTCGTTTCTACATTTCTGTGTAGTATAGATTATATAACAATTAAAAAAATTATTAAGCAAATTCAATTTAAAAAACAATAGTTGTAAAATACTGCTATTTAATCAATTTTCTAAACAATTACTATTTATTTTGGCAGAAATATTAAAAAGATAAATAAAATTATCGAAAATATTAATTTTTTTTATAATTCAAAATAATAAATGGATAAAGATATTTATAATGGGACAGAAATAGTGAAATATGAATTTTCAAATCTACATTAAAAGTAGAAGTTTGACTACTTGTTGTGAATTGAGAAGCCATCTGGAAGATGTTTCGTATCAAAAGTCTAAGTCAGTCAATCAGGTTTCCAACTACGCACAGCGTCCGTACATATCCATCTTTTTTAAAAGTAATTTCTCTGCTTCATGGCGAAGTTGTTTTTAAAATTATTTCCCGTACATAATCCATCTTTTTAAAAAAGAGTGAATATGAGAAAAGTAGAAGTTTGACTACTTGTTGTGAATTGAGAAGCCATCTGGAAGATGTTTCGTATCAAAAGTCTAAGTCAGTCAATCAGGTTTCCAACTACGCACAGCGTCCGTACATATCCATCTTTTTTAAAAGTAATTTCTCTGCTTCATGGCGAAGTTGTTTTTAAAATTATTATTAGTACCTTAAGCACAACCTAATTTACAAATTAGTCCTTATTCTGGAGAATTATTAATTAAGAGAAGTTCTTGATTTTATTAATTATTATTATTAAGAGAATGCTCGATTTCCTCGTTAAACTTAATATCGATATATAATTTATTAAAAAATTAATTTTTAATGTAATTATTATCCAAATTTTGACCATTAAAATGGCTCAATTGTTTGCAAAAAGAATAAATATTTGATTTAAATCAAATATAATAAAATATTTTTCTAATTATTCTAGAGTTTTTTAAATCAAAAAGATGCACATTCTGTAACTTTTTCTGTACCTTTTTTTTTTGTATCTTAAAGTAATTCTTTTTCTTTCCTAATATTTTGAATTTTTAAATAATTTTTATAAGTTAGAATATAAAAATTATTATTTTATTCTTTTATGAAAAATTAAGTTTTTTTATTTATTTGGTGTAAAGTTGATAGTGATCATTACATAAAATTAATTTTTAGAAAGTTGTACGTCGCGTTCAAATTCAAAAAAAAAAATTAAATTTTATTCCAAAAGTTAAACCTCCACCGTATATCTTTACAAATGAGAGTGATGAAAAGCAGAAAATAAATTAGATTTATGCTTTTATATTTTTATTGAAGAAATATTTTAGACCATAAGAATCACTTTACAACGTGTGATTATTATAGTTGACAAACAATTATTAGTTAACTAGTTAAAAGATTGAAGATTTTTTTTAATTTATTTTTCAAATTAGAAGGACTGATTTGTCAACTACATTATATTTTAAAGACTAAATAATAATTTTATTATTTTGAAGAAAAAAGAATTGAAAAGAGCAAGGCAGGTGACAAATCATTATTGCTTTGGACTACTAGGCAAATTATTCATGCTCCCTTGTGGGGCGAAGCACAGCCATCAACTGCAACTGCCAACACGTGGTACTATCTGTATGCTCCAAATGAAGTTTCATTATCATGAAATTTGACCTAATAGTAGTATTACTACTATTTATTATTTTTTTAATTTTTTAATTTTTCAGAAACCAAATAAATGTCTTCTAAAAAAATGGAATAATATTGTGAATCCTTGGTAACACTCGATGGAAAAAAAAAAAAAATCCATAGTAAGGAAAATCTCGAGTTGATATTCACAAAATTAGTAAAAATTCATGTAATGTTTATATAATAGGAAAAAATAATTTAAATTCGGATTTTTCATTTCTCACGTTATTATAGAAAGGTTAAATTTTTTTTTTAATTTCATTAAATACAACTCAAACTAAAATCCTACAAAATGAGAATTCAACCCAATAATAAACCAATATAGTTTTAAATAACAATTATATTTTATTTTTAAAATGATAATTTATGAAATCAATTTATTTTTTTCTCTTATCTTTAAGTCTTTTTACCATTAGATGAATTTATCATTCATTTTCAAAAAAAAAAGAATATATCATTCATTGAAAATTCAAATAATTAATTAATATCATACAAAATTATAGTTCAATAGTAATAAATGTAAAATTTAAATCTTCTCATCAACTCTTTTAAGTCTTATTATATCCTCAAACACTTCTAATTACATCAAATGCATATTTTGAATGTGATTAAAAAGTATGCTTGGCATTATTGATTGAGTTATTATTAAAAAGAATTTTACCAATAAGGTATTAGTTCGCGATCTCAATGTTCACAAAATGTGAGAATATAAATTCAATTTTCAAGAATCGTAATTTATTTAAAGGGTAAAAAATTTTCACACTTCATAATTTTGAGCGGATTACATTAAATGTCACTAAAATTAAATTTTAACAATTTGAATGTATTATTCATAAAATTTTTTTGAAATAAGAGACAATATCAAATACTACCTCTGTTTCATAATATTTGTTACGTTTAAATTTTCATGTCCCTTAATCAAACCATTAAATTGGTCTAAATTACAATAAACTTACTCTGTTTCCATAATATTTGTGACGTTTTAAATTTTTCTGTCCCTTAAATCAAACATTCAAATTGGTCTAAATTGACAACTAAATTGTTAAGTGAATTGACACAAATTATTATTCTGTATCTAATTTAGAATTCAGTATTCACAACAACAAATTAAATTTTAGACTTTTTAATACTCCCATGATTTCTTTGTTCCAATTAATAAGTGGAATTAGAAGAGAATTTTTGGGAAATAAATACAAAAGGTAAATATGAAAAAAAATTTTATTATTCATGTGAAAAACCAGAAATATACATAAATACTTTTGAAACAAAAATTAATTTTCTCAAATATGACAAGAATAGGAGAGGAGGTAGTAATAATTTTATTCCTTCCATTTCAATTTTTCTTTTTTTTGAAAAAATAGTTTTCAGCTTAATGAAGTATGTCTCCAAGGTAGCAATCTTTTTGTTCATAACGTGGGGAAAAGAAAGAAGAGGAAAAAGTTTCCTAACCCTCCAACATCATAAAGAAGGAATATTTTGAAACAAATTATTTTCTCAAATATGACAAGAATAGGAGAGGAGGTAGTAATAATTTTTTCTTCCATTTCAATTTTTTTTTTTTTGAAAAATAGTTTCAGCCTTAATGAAGTATTCTCCAAGGTAGCATAATCTTTTTGTTCATAACGTGGGGAAAAGAAAGAAAGAGGAAAAGTTCCTAACCTCCACATCATAAAAGAAGGATATCGCCAAATTGAGGGAAAACGATTCCTTGGAAAGTAAAAGTAAAACAATATCTTATAAGTGAAGAATTTTAGATTTAGTGGAAGTACGATATCTTTTGACGGACATACTTACCTATATTCAGTTCATATTTTCACCTACGGAACAAACCAATGAAATTTAATATTTTTATTTAAACAAAGGTATTTATAACCATACGCTTGAAAAAAAAAGAATAAAATTATAATATTTTTTACAAAATTCTTAATTTCATTTACTTAATACATGAGTAGAGCTATGAACGAAATCTCGATAAGCTTTTTCCTTTTTTGACAGCTCGGTTACTCATTTACCAAGTTGATGCTCTGCGATACTTGCAAAATATAATACATGTATAATGTAGGGGATGCTAAATTTATA